ACATATCGAAAAATAGCGAAATACTTACGTTAACGTTAACTTTCGAAGGTTTTCACTAGAAAAAATTTCCTGATGCTAGTTATAAATTGCCTTTTGAAAAATAAAATTAGCTCAAAAGGTCGACTAGTAACAGTGCTCAAAAAAATATGCTCGAATATATATATGTTTGAAAAAAAAAATAAGCTTAAATATATATGTGCATATATATTCAAACTTATTTTTTTTTTTTTGAAAAAAGAGATTAATGTATATATATTAGAGTTTAAAATACATATATATTCGAGTTTATTTTAAACGAATATATATTTTTTTTTTCTCTCAAATAATTTTTTATATCCCAAATATTTAGAGGTCAAAAATAATTTGGGATGCCAAAATTAATTTGGGATGTCAAAAATAACTCCAATCGTATAGTAAATTTAAGTGATAAAATCAAGTGTAATATGATCAGGTCATAATAAAAAAAAGTAATATTTTTGAAAAGAGCCAATCTTATTTCATAAAAACTTTTAAAATCACACATTCCAGATTGATTTTAGATTGGTTTCAGAATGGTTCCCATAGCATTGTAAAGTGTTATTTTGAATAATTGTTCCATGTATAAGTAAGCTTTAGTTTAAAGTAGTAATTTTTTTAATTAATTTAAGATTAAATATATATATATATTTAGTTTAAATGAAGCAAATAATAATTTTGTATCAAACAACCAAGAAAATGAAAGCTTGGGTTTAAATCAAATTGAAAGTAAAAATAGTAGCAGCTCAAATATTGAAAGTGAAAATAGTAGTAGCTCAAATCAAAAGAATGAAAATTTAAATTTTATAAATGGTATTTTATTTTATTTAAATTGGTATGTGAAATTTTTAATATTTATAATATTTGTTAATAAAGATATTTTAAAGATGGTTATTCAACAAGAAGTTTTCAAAATAATTATCCTATAAGTACTTTTATAAAGGCGCAATATATTACAGGAAACAAGATCTTTGATTTTTGGTATAATGTAATTTCTTTGGAACATTATCTTATATTTATTAAATTAACACAAAAAAATTTCGAAAATTATATTCAATATCAAATATCCGATAATTATTGTATTGAAACTAAAATCTATAAAATAAAAATTCATTGTGAAACAAAATATCAGTTGAATAGTAAAGTAAAATTTACAATTGTTTGGAAAGAAAATAGAGCAGAATATAGTATTTATAGTGATCGTTCTGTAACTAATATTGTTAATATATTTTTAAAGGTAAAAATAAAATATTATTTTATTAAATATTAATAATAAATATTAATTATTAATTTTATTAATTTTTATTTAAATAATTATATAGAAAATAAATTAGCTAAAAACAAATTTATCTGGAACACATATTTTTAAATTTGATATTGGACAATTACATGAATATCATTTAAAAATAAAAGATTTATCAATATCTCATATCAATAAAAAAAAGACTATTAGCAACAATTCAAATAATTTCAGGACAAAATAAAAGATTTGCATCTTTAGGTAGGGAATCTGAAAAGATTATTAAATCTTTAATTGAAAAAAATCAAATGACTATTAAAAAAAATCAACCAATTGTTAGTTTACAAAAAATAGAGTTAGATTATAATGGAGAAACTATAATATTGAATTATGAATTACAAAAAAATAATATCAATAAAATAGATGCAATAGTTTAGACATGTGATGAATCTTTATTATCTCGTGATGAATATAGACGATTAGCAGCAGTAAAATCTTATTTTACAAGAGAATATTCAATAGCAAATCGTAAAGTTGAAATAACAAACCTTATTAATGAAAAAATTAGAATTAATACTTTTAACATTGATAAAAATGAAGAAGATTTATATGAAAATTTAAATAATTTGAAAGAAAATAATGAAAATATTGATAATATTATAGTTGATGAAATAGAAATTAGAAATGGAGTATACAGATCAACTCATACTTTATTACAAAATTTAATTAAAATATGGAAACAATCTTCTTTTATTAATCTCGGTGATATTCTTAAACTTAAATTGGATGGTGATAGTCGTAACGTTGGATAAAAGTAAAGTTATGTTATGTTGACATTTTGCTTTTTAAATGAGGGTGAAGAAATTTTAAAACCGAAAAATCAACATTGGTAATTATTATTTTCTATTATTCTTTTTTTATTTTCATTAATTATATTATTATATTTTACTAATTTTTATTCGAACTATTATTAAAGTTATTTATTATTTCTATCAATTTACAATATTTATTTATTTAATAATATTAGAAATATAAATTAATTTATCTTTATTAAAATTTGTTGTTATTAATTAATTTCTATTATACTCAAATTATTAATTATTAATTAGTTTCTTTATTTTCAAATTATTATTTATTATACTTAATTGAAATTTTAATTATTTATTTTTATAATTGTTAACTATAATTATTATTATCTTTGTTATTTTTAATTATTATATTTTTTTTTAATTAATTTTACAAATTTATTATTATAATATTTAATAAAATATAATATTTGTCTATATATTGAATACGAAAAATACAAAAATTTAATCAAAGTAGGATAAATATTTCAGTAATAACTTTTTGATCTTAAAAATAATGGTATATATGATAATGATGGAATACATTAAAAAATAGAATTATTTTTTTCATCTAATTGAAAATTTACATATCAATTAGCGGAAATATCAGAATTGATGTAGATCACTAATTAAAAATTTTGTGTAATATATGTTAATGAAATTTTGCTTAAAGTCCAAGTCCCATTATTTGGAATTTAACCAAACCTTATAATGCAAAAAAATAAAATTTGATATTCGCTAAATACATTTTATTTTTAAAACTTGCAATTGTTCTTTTTTTTTTAAACAACTTGTATTAGATTTACTTTTGCCTTTTTTTTGAACTTAAACTTCAAGATTATTTTCGAATAGCAAATATCTTTTTAATTTAACTATCTAGAAACTTTTTTTAAGTTATGTTAACCATTTTCGAGTTATTAGATTATTTATTATTTAAGTATATATGTAATATATATATATATATATGTATTTTTATTAGATATATACTTTATTTTTTTATATTTTTATATAATTATAGTATTAAAAGTATTAAAATCTTTGACACCAGAAATGAAGTTGAATAGAACAAAGAAGAATAATAATAAAAATAAAAAAATATTTTTATTTATTATGAAACTCTTTATTCCTTTATTTTTTTTTATGATAATTTCACCAAGTATATATTTTTTTTTTATTCCATTCATTACCAAGTTGGTGCATTATATTTGTATATTCGAAATCTGGAATCTTGTTAGTATAGACAAGCAAACTTGAAAAATTTCTTTCTCATGTGATAATGTTTTTCGTTTTTTATATGGTTGATTAGAAATTTGTAATTCTGAATTCTGGTGAATTTGATTTGTTTGTATTACCATTTTCTGTTTTTTATTTTTTGCTGTTTTTTTATATTCAAGATGTTTGGTTCTTTTTACTCCAAGTGCACATCTTCCAGTGGAATCACGTTTTTCTATTTTCAATACTTCTTGCAAATATATTTTCTAAATACGTTTCAAACCATCAGAATAACATGCAGAAAGTTTTTCGAAACCTTTTTCATTTAATTCAGGAGGAGTATAATTATGAAAAATTAGGTGCTCCAATAGATTTTGCATATTGAAAATTTTAATCAGATTATTTACTAATTTCCACATAGTTTCTTTTTGTAAATTAACAGCCCTCTGACTATGTGATACAGATGTATCTTCTAGATATTCACTTAGAAGTAAGTCAATATGTTCTCATTCAAATTGTGCTACTTTTATATTTCTTTTAAGAGTACTTTCATTAATTACATTATCAGTTATATTTTGTTTTATAAATTAAACACCATATGTTTCTAATACCTCATCGAATGCAAAACAAATAGGTATATCTTGAGTTAAATTATTATTAGAGGGAAGTTTGAAAGTACTAACTTCATGTAAAATTTGATCTAATCTTGGATATTTTACCAATATGGAAAGATAATGAGCAATTGCCGTAGTATAATTGTTTTTTCCCGCACTTGTAAAAAGTGGAGCTACTGATGCTAAGCAATCTCATTGTAAATCATAATTTCCAATTCTTATTTCAATTTTATATGCTTTCCATATGTCCACCCATTTAAAATATAAGTACCAGATTTTTAAAATTATGTTTTAATTTTTGTTATTCATTATTGATTCTAAAGATATTCCTTTTTTTTTTATATAAACATTAATAGCTGTTCCAACCACTACTTATATAAGATCTAATACACGTGATGTGAAACAATAATCAACATTTGCTTCTAATTTATCAAGAAACCAGACCCCTAATTCACTTGCAAAATTAAATATTCCATAACTAGAAAATAATACAAGTAAGACTGAACAAAAATCTTTTGATGTATGAAATTGACCTAATAATGGACATAATTTGGACCATTTTTCTTTGTATTTTATTAATCGACCAAATAGGACTTGATTAGCTACAATATCAAAATAAACATCATCACCCAATTCCAGATCTAATTTATATATCATAGCTGCATCTAAAATTGTATTGTCAGAATTGGGATTGTTTTCAGATTTTAAAATTATTATACTTGATGAAGATCTATGAAATCCTAAATCTAATTTAGGAAGTATTATTTTTTTATTAACTCTGTATCAAATTCACGATTGTAAATTAATTGATTATTTTCTATTTTAAAATCTAATATTTTTTCAAATATTTTTTGAAATTTATTTAATATTTTTTGAATATCAGGTTTCATTCTAAAAAGCGAAGTTTCTTCATTTAATTGTATTACTTTTGGAGATACAAAATTAAATGAAATATTTGATTGCAATACTATTCGTAATGTTGTATGTGATGTTTCTCTGGTAATATCATAAATATTATCAAAGGTAAAACTTTTAGTCTTGAAGTTTATATTATCGATAATTGCCAAGTTCCAAATATTTTTATTTTTTATTAAACGTTGAGATGGTATTATATTATCCATATGGTCTTTTTCTTTATTTCTTTCATGTCTTTCTGTATGTCCCATAACATGACATGCTTTTAAAAATTGATGTAAAGAGGATATTAATTTAGGTTTCCATCTCAAACTTGTTAAAATCGATGGTAACTATATATTGTATGAAGGAAATGCAATGTTAATAAAAATAGATGTCATAAAAGTAACGATTTTAGTAATTTTTGATGGTGAAATTGTTTTACTTATTTTTTTACGATACTTTCTTTGCCAATTACAAATAGTAATTTTTTTTTCATTATTTTAGATATAAATCCTGATAGAAATAATGTTAAAAATTTTGAAAATACTTCGTAATACTTATGAATTGTACTGAAAAATTCTAAGCTTTTATTATTTTTTACTTCCTTACACGAACTCCATAATTTTGAACCAAATAACTTTCCTAACTCTTTTGAATTATTGATTTCTTGTATTTCTTGTTTAATAATATTTTTTTCTTGATTTTTTTTGAAAACAAAATTATTTATTAAAAGTATTTTTATTATAAATAAACTTATTTCATTATTTTTTTTATCATTTTCTTCTTGATTTTGAGTTATAAATTTATTGGAAGTTGGTAGAATGTAATCTGTAATTATATTAGATACTCTATTGAATATTAAATTTTTAATATATTCATCTTCTCCTTTTGAAACTCTCAATAAACAATTAGCAATTGTTTCCAATCCATTTGATATATCAGTTTTATGCAATCCATCTTGCAAACAATTTGAAAGTTTCCGTCCTTTACCATGACACACATATATATAACCATCATTTTTTTGATAACATTCAAGGCATAGATATCTAGGTCTTATAATTTTATCTTCATCTAATATTTGATAGCAAAGAGGTGAATAATTCTTTAGAGCTTTATAAGAAAATTGACTATTACAAAGAACAAAAAGATTGTGCTCATTAAAAATTCAAGAATGATTTATACACCCTTTATCATGACCATAAGTAATATAATAATGTTTACAATCTATGCAACAATATCTTTGAATTACAGTAGTTTCGGATCTTTTTTTTTGTTTATCCTTACTATTATGCAATTGATTTTGATCAAATAAAAAATGGGATTCACATACATCTAATTTTAAATAATTATCATTAACATTATTAACCATATCTTTATCTATTTGCCAACTTCCGATCATATTTCTTAACCTTCTTAATTTATTTGTAGAACCACATGTTTGAATTTTACCATCTTTGTAATCAACAATTACACATGAAGTTTTATTTTTATCTGTTGTATCAGTTTCTTTTAAAATAATTTTTGGAATCTCGTATTCATTATTAATCTCATTAATTTCTAATTGGTCATCGTTATTATTATCTTCTTCAATATCATATTCAGAATCCAAGTCAGAATCTTCATCAATATCTTTATTTATTAAAAATTCAAATAATTCTTCATTGTATTTGAATATTTTTTCATTTTCAATTTCATCATTAAAATCATTATAATTAAAATCTTCATTACTACTATCTAATAATGAATATATAATAAAATAATAAAAATTTAAACATTTTTAAATATTTTAATTAATTATTTATTTATTATTATTAAAATTTTGTTAAAAAAAAAAGAAATTAATTTATTACATGAAAAGGAAATATTTGTTTCGTGTTGAAAAATATCACTAGTATCAAAAGAACCAGAATTAACACAACTTCAGTTATCATTCTGTTTGGTCATTAGTGTTTTTTATATAATTTTATTGGAACGGAAAGGTTACTTTCTCTTCTGATTATATTAAACTATTAAATATAACCTCTTTTCAGATTATATATAACTACCTTTATTAAAAAATTATATTTTACTTTATTTAAAGAGATTTTTTTTATAAAGTTAATAATTTAGGTAAAAAACTACATCCTAAGAAGTAAATTCGTTACATTTTCACTTTTATTCATATGAAAATAGGATCTGCAGAAGGTCGTACAACACTAATTAAATCAAGTCACACATATTAAGCCTGACATTTCCACTGATTGATATATAATTATAGATATAAATACTCCTAATTCAAAGTATTTTTGTTTATATTGTAATTGTCAATCTAACTTACATTGAGATATGAATAGAAATTATGAAAATACAGGAAATAATGTATGTAAGATTTGTTTTTTTGTACTTGTTTTATTTTTCATTTATTTTTTATTTAATAATATTTTAATTCTTATGATTTTAATAGGTGAAAATAGAAAGTTGATAATATTTCCTGTTATAGATTAAAAGAATTATATTTCAAATAAATTACATCTGTTTTTATATATTGTTGATGTTTTAATAGAATGTTTTTTTAATGATTTATTTAAAAAAAAGGAATTTGAAAAAAAAATTAAAACAAAAATTGAACAAGAAAGTATATTTTGAATTTTTCAAATCTAATTCTACTGGAGAGAAAATAAAATTGGACTTCTTTAATGGGTCCTAATAAAAAAAAAGTAGTGGAATATTTTTTAATTTCAAAATTTATTTCTGGTTTTCGTAAAAAAGAAATTGAAAAATTATAGAGGAATTTTTTTAATTTATATCAAGTTTTAAGAAAACCAGTTTTTTTGAATTTAAAAATAGATAAATTTAAATGTGATGCAAAAAATCGGGTACGAATATTTTGTCAAGTAACTGAAGGAATACCTAATTCAGCAACACAAAGGCCAGGCTTATATAGAAAACAAGATATAACCCCTTACATGTATATATTTGTATAATACATATCTCAATTTATGCGACAACTAAAACAAAAAAATTTGACATTAAGATTTTTTTCTATTTCTAGTTTAGAAAAAAAAAAGCATAATCACATAAGTTTTTATATTGTTAATAATATTTTTATTTAAAAAATTATTAATAAGTTCTATTTTAAATTAGATTATTTTTTGGCAACATTACTATAGGTAGAGGTAATAAAAAAAAATCTGTTGTCCATAATATTATATCTTTTGAAAATAGGTAACTATTTTATTTAATTAACGAAACTCCTAAAGAATTTAAAGTTAGAAATATAAACTTGGATAATAAAGAAAATCAAATTAGTAAAAGAAATTAAGAAAATTATTATAAATAATATTTGTATATAATTTTAAAAAAAAATTTATTAAAAAATTATTGAATTTATATACATATATGAAAACTAAAAAATATACATTAATAATAATTTCTTTGTTCTGTATTAACTTTTATATTTTGTATATTTTGATTTAATGTTAATTGTTGAAGAGGTAAGTGAGGTAAAATAAATTTATGTTGTGATTAATTACTATTATTCATTATTTTATTTGTAATAATATATTCTTGAGATTGATTTCTAAAAAAATAAAATGTAATTAATATAGAATTTTTTTTTTTGAAATTTTAAAATAATTTAAATAAAAATAAATTAAATAATCTTATCTTACTCATTAATAAATTCTTCTGAATCTGTTATAAACATGCAGGTAACCATATCACATTGAAATGTTCTATTATTTTCTATTAATTCAGTTTGCACCCAAATAAAAGAAATTTCATAATTTTCTTCATAATTTGTCAGAAGTATATATCCAGTTGTTTTTGTTTTAGAATTCTGTCGGCTACTCCAATATTCATAATTTAAAATTTGTTTTAATCTTTTTTTCTCTCCTTACCTTTAAAGGTATAACGATACTTTCTTAATGTTAAATTGTAACGAAATGAAGGTTCACTTTGAAATAGGTGAACAAAGACATTTTCAGAAAAAACATTTATGAGAAGTCATTTTTGCCTAATGAAATATTTGCTAAAACTAAGTCATTTTTTAATAAGAATTATAAAGGTATTTTGATAAGATATAAGTTGTCCAAAGGAAGGCTGAACAAGTAAATGGAGGTGAGGTATAGTTTTATTATTTTTGTGTTTTTTTCTTTCATGACTTAAAAGTTGTTTTCGTGAGGACAAAGTTATTTGACATAGATAATATTGAAACATCATTTCCGTTATTTCAAAATATTCAAATAAAATTGTCACGAAATAAAAATAAATATTAAATTTTTTTTTGATTAGCTATCATATTTATTTTTAGATATCACATATATTAAATGTATGACAAAATCAAATAAAGTCAAATCAGCCCATATGCTAAGTTGATCAATCAATTGGTCAGTAAATTGGCCAGTAACTGGATCACTATGATCTACATTATTATATGGACCAATTTGTCTTATATCTTTAATTAAATTTTAGGAATTATCCTGAATTTTGATCTTAACACATGATTAAAATGTGACAAATATATGATGTTAAAATACATAAACCAATTGCTGAAGACTTTTTACACCAAAATCATAACTTGGAAATCTGTTAGGAATTCATTTTCAATAGAATCATTTGTGAAATCAGTATGCAAGCTATCTCTTACTTATATTAAAAATATATAAAAAGAATAAATATATATATGTTTTTTTATTTATAAAATATAAAAACTAGTTAAAACCAATATTTTAATGATGAAAATCAAATATAGAAAGTGGTATTAATAAAGAAAATGACAGAAAAGGTGAGAGTATAGAAGGTTTAAATATAGATAATCAAGTTTTAGAAGATATTTATTTAAATATTTTATTTTATTATATTATATTTTATTTTATAAAATATTTAAAAAATATTTTATAGCCAGTTCTTTCTCTAGTTGCATTTTTATACATGACTATTCAAAAAATCTGAAAATTGAAGCTCAATATAAATCAAAGGAACAGATATACTGTAATGTTTTCAAAATTGATTTTTGATTTTTGGAGTATTTTGTCTTTTTGAGATTTATACAGAATTTATTCTATATATAGAAGTAAAAAAAATATCTAGTTAAGTGTATCTTTAATCAAAGAATTTATCTGGATAATCAAAAAATTTTGAATTTTAAGTAAAATAATTTTGTCATTTATAAAAAACTATTTTAACTTTTTTTTTTCAAAATTGTAATTTTGGAACTCCAAAATAATTTTACCTGTAAGTATATTACTAACTCAATTAAGATGTAAGGATTCATATATAAAATAAAATTTACAACTTCAAAGAAACAACAATCAATACAAGTTTTTGCTTACAATTTAAATATTTTTATTTTTACTGAGTTCAGTGAGTAATTCAGAAGTGTCAACAATTTTAATAATATCAGAATATATACTCTTTTCATTACTATCAGATATCACCATTAAATCAGTATAGTTTTCCTTATGAGATTATTGAGTTTTTTTAGCATTTATATTAGTGAATTGCTCTTGAAGGTGACATCTGTTATATTAGGAAGTTTCCATCCATGATCTATCTTTTGTTTGATCCAGAAATGGTGAATTTATATCCTTCCTTTAGTGCAAATTTGATATACAATTCACACAAGTAACAGCATTTCTTGGATACTGCTATATATGTCTTAGCTTCCATTCCCCTCATTTATTAAGTGGGTCACTATGTTCATTTCTACATGTAGATATACATATACGTTTGTTAATGTTTTCAAAGTCCAGGTTTCCTATGCTACTATATATTTGTACTAGTCTGTTTGCTATCACACTGATTATAAAACATGTATTTTTGAAATCGTCATAATCCTTGGGATCAGGAATAAACCTTTGGATAATATTTTTCTATGAAAAAATATGGGCAACCCACACAATTTCACACGAGAAAATAAGGCTTTATATCTTTTACTACACACAATTTGTGATATTAATTAAAGACTCAATATAAGATCCCACCTTTTTGGAATGCTTCAGAAATGGTTTTGGAATTATAGAATTTTTGGTTTTAGAAACCTCTTTATATAATAGCAACAAATTATTGATATAATGGATCCGCTCACTTTATTTATATCAATAGCGTGATTTGAAACATATTTTATAAAAGATTTAACATATTGCTCGTCTTTACCCTCCTTTAAATCTTTCTTAAGTTTACCAAATATAGAATTGAACTTTGCAGAACAGTATGCCACTACTTCGAAGATTAAATCCTTTGTATCATCCCTTTTAAATGCATCCATCCATAGCATAGGTTCGTATTCAGATATAATTCTCAGGTATTTCTGGATTTTTCGATATATTCAACATCTTTAAGCCATTGACCATTTTTAGAAATGTAAATTATACAGGAATCGGGATAAATTGTCAAGTTTACTGCCACCACTTCTCTGTCCCTTGCCAATATTGCTACTAGGTTATGAGAAAATTTTTCGTCATCACTTTTGTCAACAAATTTGATACACATATTTCACACGCGAATAAAATGTAATAACCTTTTATTTTTATTAACAAATAATAAAATTAAAATACAACCCCATTACAAGAATATTTTAAATCTTGGCATTTTATTATTATTATTATCATAATTATAATAAGCATTGATACATAACTAACTTAGAAATAATTAAACACAGAAAATAATTGTAAAATCCCTTTTCCGCATGTAAAATATTAAATACTTACTCGATATAAAGTTCTTCTTTTCGCCTTTTTATTTTTATTTTGAAAACCCTCAATTCCAGGAATCCTTTTTTTGTGAAAACTACGAACACTTTGGCACTGGTAAATGAAGAGGCATCAAAAAGGTACTAGTGGCACAGCTAGAAAATACTTTGGCACTCATGAAGGCAATATATACAAGTACTATATTCCTCCTCACTTTGGCACTCATACCCTCATAGTGCTAAAAGTATAGTCAAGGTCCTAAGCATCACATGGGCGCTCATGTTAAGTAGTAACGGAGGAGAATAATGTAAGCACAAATAGAAATACTTGGCACTCAGGAAGACAATACACACAAGTATATATATCTTCATTGCACTAACAGCATTAAGCACAGACACTCGTATATGTAGTGTTGGATATGGCAAAAGATATGGCAAAAGATATGAGAAAAGATAGACAAAGGATCATAATAATAAAGAAAGAAAAATAAAAAAAAAAACAGAAATAAATAGTATAAACGAATAACTTAGTTCTTAATTTATGAAGTCATAAAATATAATCAAAAAAGGTATAGCTAAAATTATAATAATATTAATTAGAAGGTTATAAACTTCGAGAATAAAAAAAAAGCGGAAAAGGGAAAAAATAATGAATTATTTTCGCTCAAAAAGAAAAGTTGAAAAGAAAAACGCGTCATAATGGAATAATATCACATGATTTCTATTCAATCATCTGCGAATCCTTAACCTAATTCCGGTTTAGGATATTATCTTAGACCGGGGTCAAAATTTTGAATAAAAATTATTTATAGCAAAAGATTATGATTCAAATATAGCTAAATTAATATTATAGCACTTTTTGCCTTTCTTTTGGTTCAGCGAAATTGAAACCACCTCTCAGCTGGCCATCATTTAATCTCAACTGATTGTTTTTTTTTTGGTAAACCTTTATCAAGTTCTTCCCAATACTTCGCAGAAATGAAAGCTTTATAAATGTAACATATGTAAAAATTATGTGAACTGCACATAATGTCTGATCTGTAGAACGTATATTCTCACTACCACAGGCAAGAATCTCCACTGCAATCTGTGGTTCTCCAAATTCACTACTTGGCCCAACGTTTTACAGGTATTTACCCTGTTAAAAAAATTGGTTAAAAAGTCAGAGAAAATATAATAACTTGTCGAACAATTAATAATATACAGACCCCAATCACAACCATATTAATGTTTTACCTGTTTCGCTTCTCAATTACAAAATCAGGTTTTGATGACACGCATGGTTGTCTTTGATGTGTTGGTGGTTGATTTCTTGACTTCGAAAATGCAACCATTAGAACAATCACAATAAAATAAGACTTCCGATGATTGTAATCCGAAGCAGATTATCCACATATGTGTCAGTAAAAGTTTCGTCTGTGCCTGCCATCTGAGTACCATTGAGAACAACTTCGTGTACATTAGTAATAAATGTTTTGAGCTTTAGGATTCAAGATTTTTTTCCAAGCTTTCTAACATCAAACATTGACTTTCTAGTATTCCAGTACTAATATCAAGGAGAACATACTATTCTGGAAATTTGGTGACTAGATAATAATATTTAAATTATAAATATTAGGCCATTAAGAGGGTGGTAAAAATAACATAGCTCTTACCTTCAACATCATCAGATATAACTTCGCCCTCACAAGAAGGTCGCTTTTAATGCCTCTGTTGAAAATACAAATGTAAAAGAAGGGTGATCCCTTATACTTTAGTTGGAATGATAATTGGAATTAGAGCAAGAACTAATACTGATCCTATGGTCAACGGTAGCTCTTGTAAGTCCTGAGTCTTCTCTAACAAGGTGTCCTGAATGCCGTTGAGGAGCCAAAAAGCTCTCACTTTCATTACTTTCATTAATGGCTCTCTCATAAATTGACACTTGTTTGGCAGGGCACTTTAATTGTTGTCGAGGAACAAAAGAGCTCAAACTCCCGGCTTCAGCATTTTTTTTTCGTTTCCTTGAAGTTTTTGAAGAACATCGTGAATCAGAAATTGTTATAACCTATTCGTACTAATCACGTGACAGAAACCCATAAAAAAATGTTCAATAACGAATAAAGTATTATTTATTTTTACATCGGTTTGTGGGTAAACGTTCTTACAAAAATATTCGAATTTTACATATTTCACATATAGTTACATATAGTTAGAATTAAGGTGCATATTCACCACTTACTCGTTCCAGAACTCGGAACATATTTCCGAAATGCTAATTTCGTGCGCGCCCTTAATTGTCAATGCGTTTCCAAATGCATTGACTATATCTTGCCTAATACGTTCCCTTACCCATACATTTCCATTTGACACAAACTTCTCTTTGCATATTTAGAATAATTCTATTAATCCTATTGATTTCGATATATCAATCAATTTTTTAAGTACACGCCAGCTGCCCTGTACGAGCTGTTGTATAATAGTAAAGTTTGTATGGTTGCGTATACATTGGCACAGTGGTACGTCACCTATTGGCGGATAATCATAAAAAGCGATTTTTTTTTTTGTGTTCAGTTTCATGTATTGTTAGTTATTTCTTTTTTTTTTTTTTTATCAAAGAAAAAATAATAATAATTAGTGATAGTAGTAGTAACATCGATAAGAAGAACAATTAGTAATCATTTATTAAATAACAATCAATTCTTTATTTCTTTCCAAATATAAAATGTCAGCGTTCTTTTCATATTTTGAAGTTGAAAAAAACGAGAATTCTTTTGATATTGATATAATTAATATTACAACAAATAATAAAGATAATAATAATAATTATAATAAAGATAAAAATAATAAAAATTATTATTGGGATAATAATAATAATAATAATAATAATAATAATAAATTACCAGACATGACTAAATCGTTAAGAGGTTTTAAACGACCTCGAGATACGGAGGAAGAACTTGATAATGAATTTGAGGGAAATTTTAATAATCAAGAATTCTTTAATGGTAAGAGAATGAAATTGGAAGTTGAACAAAATGATTTAAGGTTAGTTTTCATTGAATTACTATTTCAATTATTTCAATTGGTAAAAGAACACACATATATATATATTCATATAGGCTTTTAATAATGTCTAAAGTGTATATATTTTATATTATATTATTGTATCATTATAATATTTATAGAAATTTATATCAAAATTCGGGGTTCGATCCAAAAACATCACAATCACATTTTTCATTCCAGCCTTCCACCACCAATCAACAAGATCAACAACAAGAACAACAACGACTACAACAACAACAACAACAAGAACAACAACGACTACAACAACAACAACAACAACAACAACAACAACAACAGATGCCTCAACAATTCTCACAATTCTCACAATTCTCGCAATCTGAACCATTCTCACAATCTCAACAATCTCAACAACAATCTCAACAACAATCTCAACAAGATTCATTTTCTATGTCTTCACATAAATCTCCACTTCGTATATCAACCAGATCATATGTTACGGAAGTTATTAGTCCTTATGTCAACATTAATTCCGTATTATATTTGGCAAATTTAACACGAAATTCACATATTATAAATGATTTTAATAATAATGAAAATAATATTGGTAATATTGTAAATAATAATGAAAATAATGATAATAATCTTGATAATATTGGTAACATCGGTAATAACAATGGCGGTATGGACATAGATGAACAAGAAAGTCTTATTAATTCAAACATTTTAATTGATAATAATAATAATAATAATAATAACAACAACAACAATAATAATAATAATAATAATAATTTAATAAGAAATAATTTTTCTAATCATGAAATCAATGGAATGAATGATAATAATAATGACAATAATAATAATAATAATAATAATAATAATAATAATAATAATAATAATAATAATAATAATGTAGTTAATATACAACATATTTCTGAATACGAATCAATTAATTCTGTTTTGAGAGAAGCTTTCTTAGCTAGACATATAAATCAGGAATACAGTAATAGGATCACGAAATTTGAATGCTAAGAAAAATTAAAAACTAATGGAAGGAATAAGTTTATTTTTGGATTATTTTGATATATTTTATTATTATTATTTTTTTAATTTCTTTTCTTGTCAAATATATATAAATAATTAAAATATGTCAATAATAATAATATTATTATTATTAAGGGAATTTGGTAAGATATATAATTTTGGAGATTTCGGAGGATGATTCTTTATTTACCAGTTAAAAAAATTTTGATTTTTTTTTTCATTATTAAATTATTAAAATTTTTTTTACTTGTAATAAACTTGTGAATAATAATAATAATAATAATAATAATAATAAATGAATAATCAAGAAATTTTATAAAGTTATATACATTAAAAAATCACCTCACCTTTGGATTTTAATGAAAAATATACATTACAAAAAATCACCTTTTTGATCTTAATGAAAAATATACATATATAGTAAGTCATACAAAGCATTGTTTAAGAAAATAATAAAAAATAATACTAATTTGGTAAAAATTTTCGGAAAGGTTTCGCTCGTGATTACGTGTCAAATACTTACTTTTAACCAATGCTAAACAAAAGAAGGGTCAAATCCGACATTTTACTTCAATAAAAAGAACGATAAAAAGAGCGAACAAACATTTTCACCAAAAAAAGTTAACGAATCAAGTAAATTAAGTAAAATTGAATAATTTTTTTTTTTTTTTTTTTTTTTAGTTGGACAAATAATATTTAGGTCACAAGAAAAACTTTTTTTAGTTTTATAGTAGTTTACTAAATATATATAAAAAAAAAAACGCTTTTTTTTTAACAGAAAAAAAAATAATTTAATAATAATAAATAATATACTTTTAAAAAAAGAAAAATGAAGAAAAATATTGGAAAATTTAAACAGGTTCGAAAATTCATTTAACGTCAAATTTTAAATGTATTTGCCTGACAAAACTCTTTAATTTATTATTTAATTTATTATTTAATTTATTATTTAATTATTTAGTATAATATTACTGACACCAATACTTTGCATATTATTTATATATATTAGTGGGCCAATGAAAAAGTAGGGTCTACTAATAAAACTCGAACCACTGATGAATTCCAAGATTTACAAAAACAAACGGAAGCAAGACACAATGGATTTGATAAACTTCATGTGGCGACAACTACCTATATAAAGTCAATGTGTACGTTTAATTCTATATTATATAATTATTATTACTTAATAATTTAGACACAGAATTGGGGATAATTAATTAATTTGATCGATTTGATTTTTTTTTTTTTAGCCAAGAAAATCGAATCCGTTGAAGAGAAATCAAAATCATTACCAATTGAATCTCTTGGTTCTACGATGAGAGTATATGGTGAAGATTTAGGTTCCGAATCCGCATATGGTAAAAAATGATGATACTTTTTTTATTTATACACAATCTTTATATACAAAAAAAAAATATAATAATAATCCTCTTTTTTTTTTTAATAATATAACAATATAATAATAATAATATAATAATAATAACAATATAATAATAATAACAATATAATAATAATAATATGATAATAATAACAATATAATAATAATATATAATAATAATATGAAGGAGAGGCATTGCTTAATTATGGGACAGCTAATGAAAAGATTGCGGAATTACAATTAGAATTTGTTTCAAGAGTTCGCGAAGAATTTATTGAAGGGTTAGAAGCATCAATTGGAGATTTGAAACAGTATCAAGTAATTATTATCTGTAATTATCTCTAAGTTTGGGATCAATTTATTTATTTATATTCATTTATTATTATTTTTTATTGATGATTATTTTTTTTTATTGATCAAATTTATTGTTATTATCATTATTATTATTATTATTACCTTAATTATATATATATATATATATAATAGAATCTGAAGAGAAAACTTGAATCTCGTCGACTTGATTACGATGCAAAATTAAATAAAGTTCAAAAATCTAAAAAAGAAAAACCAGAATTGGAAGAAGAATTACGAGCCTCAAAAGAAAAATATGATGATACAACAGAAGAATTATGTACAAAAATGCAAAGCATAAATGATTCTGAGGTTGATTTATAATATTATAATATTTATTTTCTCATTTTTTTTTATTGATTATTATATTGATTTTTTTTTCTTATTTTTATTGTTTATATTTAATTAGGATCAATATATTCAAGAATTGACAGCATTTTTGGATTCACAACTTGAATATTATAAAAAGAGTTACGAAATTCTTTCAAATGTGAGAAAAGATTGGGTTGAGAGGTAATTTTATATTTATGCATATATATATATATATATATACACACTTATATATTTGTACATATATATCTGTACTTATATATTTATACTTATATTTATATTTAATATTAGCAATTCAAATGATAGATCAACAAAAACCCGTCGAACTCCTACAAGATCAAAAACTTTGGATTCAAATAATTCACTTTCACATTCAGATATTGGGGAAGATCAATATTCAGATGATGAAAGTGTTTATCAACGTTCCAGAGAATCACGTCAAACCACCAATAAAAAATCTATAAAATCAAAAACTTCAAATAATAATCTTAGTGTTCCCAGTAATGCTTCATCATCATCATTATTACCTAGAAACAAAAATGCAAAATCCCCAGATACTGGAAGTAAATCACGGAAATCAGGTTTGTTAGTTAAATGTAATTCATAATTCCAAAATAATTCATTAATCATTAATAATAAATAATAATAATAATAAAAATAATAATAATAATAGGTAAAAAACAAGTTAAAGCAATTTATGGTTATGAAGGGGAAGATGAAGGTGAACTTACAATAGATGAAGGTGATATAATTACTGTATTAGAAGAACATGAAGGTTGGTGGATTGGTGAAATTATTGATTCAGATGGTACTAGAAGAAGTGGTATGTTTCCCGCAAATTATACTGAAGAAATTCTTTCGGAACAACCACCAAAAAAATCACCATCACGATCATCATCAATATCATCATCACGACGACGAGTAGTTTCAAGAAGGACGTCATCTCATGATGATGTTAACGATGATGATTATGATAATCATCGAATTGATGATGATGATGATGTTGTTGATAATATTAATGAAGATAATAAACCCACCCAAATTCAAACTAGACCTTCCATGTCACGTAATAGTTCTTATAATTCTCGTACAACTTCACAAAAATCTTTTGTTATGACACCTCATCGTTCGGGATCACCCGCCATACCACCAATTCCTTCTCGTACTTCTAAACCATCTCAAAATACTTTTCGAAACATACCATCATCTGTTACCCCACGTGTTGTGAAACCTCAACGACAAAATTCCCTTGGAACCAATGCACATTCAACATCACCAACCAATGTTAGTGTGGGTGGTAAAAATTCTTATATTCCTCAAGAATTAATTAACATTAATAATAATAATAATAATCTTAATGTTGGACCATGTAGAGAATGTGATTGTGATGATTATTCTCCTAATTTATTTAAGAAAGGAAGTTGTAATAATTGTTTTCATAAGCATTTATAGGATTTCTAAGATTTCTAGAATTTTTTGTTGTATTTTATTGTCACATTATAATTCATTATAGTTTGTAACTAATAGTTTTAATAGTTTATATAATATTTATTATAATTGTTTAATTGTTTAAAATAATATTTATTAATTGTATTAATTGTATTAATTGTTTAAAATAGTTTTATCATATTTCATAATTTTTTCATATTTCATAACATTTAATATTTATAACATTTTAATTAACATATATTTCATAATAGATCATGAAGATTACAATTAGATATTGTAATTATGTAGAATATAATTTTTTTTATCACATTTTCAATTATAATATATATATATATATATATATATAGTACTAAAATAAAGATATTTACTAAAATAAATTATTTTCATTTTTCATAATAAAGTCCATACTACCTGATCCTAAATTCCCAAACCATCCTAAATCGTTTAGTCCGAATCAATATATTATATACTATTACATTAAAATCGATCTTTCGAATTAAAAAAGTATTTATAATATTTCATATCAGTGATCAGCATTTGTATCACATTTTATCGATCTGCCATGTGAAATATATTCGTCCTGCCAAACAAGTGTCAATTTATGAGAGAGCCATTAATTGAAAGTACTGAAGTGAAAACTCTTTGGCCTCTCAATAGCCAACAAAGCACCTTGCCAGCATTTCCAACCCTGCAGGAGAAGATTCGGGACTTACAAGAGCTACCGTTGACCTTTAGGAATAGTATTGGTTCTTGTTCTAATTCCGGTCATCCTAAACTAGGGTTAGGTTAAGGCAATCATGTCATGTGATAGTATTTCATTATAGTTCATATAAACGCGTTTTTCTTTTCAACTTTTCTTTTTGAGCGAAAATAATTCATTATTTTTTCCCTTTTCCACTTTTTTTTTGTTCTCAAAGTTTATAACCTTTTAATTAATATTATTATAATTCCTCTTTCTTTTAACTATACCTTTGTTGATTATATTTTATGATTTCATAAATTAAGAACTAAGTTATTCATTTATACTATTTATTTTTGTTTTTTTGGTTTTCTTCCTTTATTACAATAAAAATGTTCTACAACGCTATATGAACACCATTCTATAGTATTATTTGAATGGCACTAACATTCTAGTATTTAAATATTTCGTATTAATAGCATATTAAATATACTGTTCTAATATATTATTCAAATGAGCTGTTTGTAGTTTATATAAACTACAAACAGCTTATTCTAGACTATAAACAACTCAGGTGTGACATGCGATTTGCATTTGCTTCATCATTTGAGTGACATGCAATTTGCATTTGCTTCATCATAGATGAGATGTTTATAGTCTACTTGTCAGTAATATGCCAGTGTGACATGCGATTTGTATTTGCTTCATCATTCAAGTGATGAATCGATTACAAAATATATGCTCTCTTATTTGATTGCTAAATTGTTTTTTATCATGGAGAAGCATAGTGACTCTGGATGTGAAGCATAGCGGAGTATAGTTATAGTATTTAATTACTAAATTGCTTTCTGTCACATAGCGACTTCAGATATGAAGCGTAGCGGTGTTACAGAATAAAATTATTATGAAAAAGTATAGTATATAATACTAGAAACACCTACAGATAATTAGGGTTGTTAATAGAACATAATGGGTTGGGTTGAGTTCATATTATAGCGGAGCAATGGTCAACTCAACCCAACCCGGGTTAAATGTATCACTGGTACTCCGCGGGTTGCTCC